ATTGCTTGAACCACAGTGTAACAAGGATCTAATAAACACATGAAAAACTTTTTGATGTACGTTTGATTGGATTAATCCCTTCAGCTTTCTTTCCGTCTTTGAACGTCCTCTTTGGTGCCGTAAAGAGAGCTAAAACTTTTACTGATGCAACATTGCTGGAATTTCTTTAAAACCTAAACATTTCTTTTGCAAGTTATATAAGTGGTTACACTAAAAAAAAATCATCATACCACCCTACACAAAAATACCACCACCCCTTGAGCATCTTTCAGTTTGTCACCAGTGGAATACAGACCTGAAAAAGACACCTGTCCTGTCTGGTTTATAATAAGTACATCCCAGAGTTGACGATGACATTAAATCTGACAAGAGTGAACCATGAGGACAACCTGCATGAAAAACTCAACTCAAGAAAGCAGGGAGGAATTTGCACAACAGATGCAACCTGCATTTGAAAGATTTTTTACAGGATCCCAACAAATCATCTACATGTTCCAAAGAAGTGATGGTTAGAAGTGAACCTTCCAAAACTCATGTCCTCATGAATAATGCCTATGAGTTTTAAAAATACCACCTCTTGAAGKGAAGTTTAATGAAATCATCAAATACAAAGAACAATATGAGGAGGGAAGGCTAGGCTGATGCAACATATAGCATCATAAAAGATGTCCAGCTGCAAGTGTGCTGTTTATTTGGAGGGAAAAAGGAGGGGAAACAGGACTTACAATGAGACTATAAGTAGCAGAGAAGGAGAATTCACCCTGGCTTCAAACAGAAAGGAAAAAATAAAAATAACAGACGCAAAAATATCGCAACTCCACAAGAAGTGCCTGCAAAAACTTCAAACGCTTTTTTCTCCAAGCATGACATCATAGCACACCTCAACYGAACAACATCCTCAGACAGAAACCAGTTCTCCAGAAAGATAAAAGACCCGAAGACAAGCTGAGCAGTGTAATACGTGCAGCAAGGAGAGCACAGACCTTTCTATAGGGGAAACTAAACAACCTCTTCACAAACCCACGACACAACACGGGAGAGACACATTTTCAGGTCAGGCCTCGGCTGTCCGTCTACATTTACAGGAAAAGAGGCAATCCTTAGAAAACTGCAATGTACACATTTGGTGACAGAGAAAACAGCGACGAGCATCACCTTCCAGGCACATAAAATGAGTGTGTATGGAGGAGCAATTGGTTCAAAACGAAGGTTTGCAGGTCTGACAGTCCTCCCTGTGCAAGGTTTTCTCCAGGTGCTCCGGGTTTTAGTATTTCATTTTCTGAACATTGTACCGAAAATAAAACTTTCTTGAAAACCAGTTCAACAAAATTACACAACTTTCAAGTGCTCTGTGGAATAAAATTCAGCTGCGTATAGACAGCATATTGGKTTAAACTCTTGTACCGCCCACACAAACAGAGAAGGTTCTCGGTGAAAAGGTGTACACCCTGTGCAGAGATATCATTTTCCATGTTCTGGGTGACATTCACAGTGCTGCGTGGGGCAAGCAATTTCCTCTGTTTACCCTCATGTTTAAAAGGTGACATGCGTGGTACTGTCTCTCTATARATCACTGCCAAAAGAAGCTGATGTTTTTCATCTTTGCTGGTCTTCATACAACAGTTGGTCTTCAGGGTGCCGGATTCTTATATTTAATGCTTGGTACTCCTGATCTGACACATACGCTTCAGTTGACGCAGGCAATATTTTTGCACCTCGCTCTGCTTTGAGCGGTCAGGAAGGATTCTTTTACTCTCTTTAATGCAGGCTAATGTTTCACATCGGAAGAAGAATTGATCGGAAATTATTTTACYGAAGAAAACCCTGAATATTTCACTTTGTGTTCCTGTTTTAAAATGCATGATAGAYGCTCATGCTGGAAAGGGACAGCAGGTATTGATCGCAGGTTTTGCCGCTTTCTTAAAGCTTGCATCACCCTTTCAGGTAAAATAAAAGAAGGGGACAGCATGTTGATTACCCCTGAGGGAAACGAGCAAGGCCATACCTCACTGAGCCCATCAAAGCTAAACTCTTTGTTCTCCTGGTATATTTCTACACTAACATGGTTTAAATGTGTGTTTGRGTCATAATCGTTGCACATTCCTCAGACAAGGTCCGAGCAGCACCGTGGAAACAGAAACCGCTCRGAACAATGAATATTTCATGTTTTCATTTGGCGCCATCTTTCTACTGGGACCAGTTCATAAATCAGACCATTGATGGTTTTGTGTTTCTTTTGCTGCTGTGTGACGAGGCTTGGATTGGTGTTTGTGATGCTCTCTGTATTTAACTAATCACACCCTGGAGATGTTGTGTGCATAATAACGGTAAGTGTTTGAGTTTGGTCAGTAGAGTTATGGTTGCCGGTTGTTGAAGACATTGATCTTCCGTCGTCCTCAAAATAATGGACATTCTGAAGAATTCTGTGGTTTTCTGGAGGAGGAGGTGATGCGTTATGAACCACAAAATTACTGATCTCATTTTGCACTTGTCAGTCAGGGTTTGTGGATTTAGAAAAGCTTCTTATTTATTTCCTAATGTGCTGTGTTTTACCCTTCAGTCAAAATTAAACCATCACCAGTTTAGTWTGCAGGGGGAAACGATGCAACAGAAGGTTTTATTTTTGAGTCTTAAAGATCTTTAAAAACCTACCAACCCCCCTTTTCATCTTTGAATCTCTATTTGAAAAAATACACCAAGAAAAGTTTTTTCAATTTGTACAAATTGAATTTTTTGGGGGTTTTGTTTTTAAACAAAGCTGAATTTGATCATTTTGATGGTGATTTAGCATCATGTAGCTAATTCTGAGACTAAGTCTGTTTTAAGTCAAAAGACACTGAATACAACTAATACTAGTGTTTTTCTCAGTGACTTTGGTTCCATTTTCGTAGTAATTTTAATTAACGAGCCTCAGATATGCTTGTAGGTGGCTTCAGATAGACACGTTACATGAAAACACTACTGATGGTGTTTGTTTGCTGGAGGGCGAAACAAGAAATAAGCACATTTCCCAAAATGCTGAAGAGTTGGGATTAAAAGATGAGGAAAGCAATGCCAGTGAAAGGCCACAGCCAATATTTTAGACATTTGCATGCCCTCACATTCTGTTTGGTAAATCTACTTAAGCCGTCATGGGGAAGTATGAGGGACTTTAGTGAATTTCCCAAGCTACTGTGTCCTGAAGCTATCAGTGGCAGWAAAGAAGAGCATATTATTTTAGTATCTTTGCCCCGAAGTGGAAACAAAGTGTCACAAACTTTTACACTGCTGTAGGTTTTTCTTAAAGGAATATTTCAGATTATTAAGAGGAGTTTAGTGGAAAGGTCATTTCCAGAGGAGCTGACAGCCAGTCTGAACATGCGGATTTCTGCTATTTCAAAACATTTTTAATCATAAATGTTTCATAACAGCTACATAATCAACAGTGTGACACTACAGAAGACTTTTTCCTATTTCTTTTAAACAATTTTTAATCCAGTTTTAGCTCCTACTTTAGAGCTTTCTCAGTTCAGCAGAGACTGTAATGGCATGAAGTGATGTGATTGGTCCATAAGTGTTTGCTGATTGGTTGAGCAAGTTGAAGGCTCTTTCAGCATCCTCAACTTTTTAYAAACTGTATTTGCAGTATTTCGAACAACACTTTCAAGACGGAACGTTGCTTCAAGAAATGGATGGACAGTGATGTTGGCAGAAAAAACAAAGAGCGGTTTCGGGAYTGTTGGGCTTGAGCTCGGGTGCAGAAGCCAAAAACACACCAGACTGCCGTTCACTGCCGAGACCCTCCGGCTCTCCTGTTTCAGCTACTATCTGCTGCTTTTCTTTCATTTTTTTTAAACTCATGTTTTCGTCACATTTTCCGACTTTGCAATAATCATTAATCCAAAGACATCCATCAAACACACAGCTCCAACCACACCTCCGTTTTAGTTGTTGGAGTTGTCACATGCAGGGCCATGACTGCACTGATCACTGGCCAACCTAAACACAAGCCTAACCCCAGGCAAGGCAGAGACAAACACACAATCCCCCCAAAAGCCCTTGGAGTTGTTCGGTCCAAAAACAGCTTCTGTCTTCCCAAAGTCAGCTTGTTGAAAAAGTCATCCATAACAGGTAAGATAATAACTGTACACAGCCCTTCCATTGAAGTCCACTCAGGAAATATCTGAATTATTGCTTAAATAAATCATCTATTTAGTTTTTGCAGTTATGAGAATAATAAACAATGTAATAAATACAGAAAGGAATGAAAGCATAAAATCCAAGGATGGCATATAAACCACCCACCTGCTCCTCACCCTCCACCGCACGCACACACGCACGCACGCACGCACACACACACACACACACACACACACAAACAGAGTCTAACTCACTCTTTTTCATTAACAGGGGACCCGTACAATAAAGAGAAGTAGATTAAGACTGCAGACAAAAAGACAGTGGGCTCCAGCCGCCTCTCTGAATTCATTGTCATTAGCAGAGGAACGCTGAGGCCTTTTCAAACTCATTAGTTGATAAAACAACCTTCTGATTTCCCATTAAAAAAGCCCGTTCATCCCCCCCCTTCCTCTGTCACATCCCTGCCTTTCCACACCTTCAGCATCGCTCCCGAGACATGGGGGGAAAGGAACTGGCAGCTCTGATGCAACGGTTTCTAAAATCTGTTCACAGACTTATTTACATCTGCAACATTTGCAATTCTTTTTGTGGAATTTGATTTCCGSTTTTAGTTTAAGCTTTCTTTCCTCTTTTTTTATTTAATTTTTTTTGAGCGGGTGGGGGTTATTAGCGGACTGAAATAGAAAAGTAATTGTTAGCCAAGCTGTCGGTTTGATTGACTTTCTAATGCACCGAAAACAGATTGAGTTCTTTTTTTAACCTCCTAAGACACAAACTCTTGCATTGCGTGCATTTTTGTCCACACATGTTGCGGTCATGTCCTAGGAGGTTGAAGTAATCAAYTGAATGTTCAGATTAAACAGAAATAAAGCCATTACTGGTTTCCTGGCAGAATAATAATTTATTCAAATTTTGACAAAAAGAAATACATATTTGTGCTTTGTGCATTTTAAATAACAGCTTTGTTTATATACAATTTATTACACTGGTATACATATAATTTATTATTACACATACTTCAAATGATTTGTAGCTAATTTGATAATTATAAACATCAGAGACCCATTCCTTCCCCCAAAATCCATTTAACAAGAAGTTATAAAGGAAAACAAAACAAAAAAAAACATATTTTACATTTCAAAAACATTCATTTAAAGCTGTGTCAAAATTCAAGTCAGTATGTCCCATTCAGCCAGGTTCGTCTTCTGGAATAAAACCCACATCAGCAAGGTTTTGTCTTGTTTTGATCCAAGTGAATCACAACAAAGACACGAAGGTAATCACTAACCCCAGCATGAAGCCACTAGGCTTAATCTAGTTTTTTTTTCTTCTTAATCTCTCACCGTCTGAGATCCTGAAGACACACCTGAGCACAACGGGTTTGTCTTGTTAGTGGCTCTCTGAGAAGCAGCGATACCTTCTCGACACCTTTCCCTCTTTGTAATGTAGGTCAGACAGGCAGTTTTGGTTCGGACGTGACGTCGGCAGAAAGCGCTTTACAAATTTGCATGGATGTCCTCGTGTCGCAGCACTTTGTAGGTGACCCAGTAGAAGATGTTGAATATGAGAAAGCTCAGTGGAAAGACTGCTCTGGATATGGTGTCGATCCTTTTGGCCCGGTCCACGAAGCGCTTGTGGAGGATCTCTCCGTTGTACATGGTGATGGGAGGTGGTGGCGCGAACACGGTGGCACCTTCCACCGCGGCTCCGTCCTTGGTTTGGAGGCAGTGGCCGAGTCCGTAACCTCGGAAGTAAAAACCCCGACTCTCTCTCACGAGTTCCTCCTCCTGTGGAGTCAAGCAAAAAAATAAAAAAATAAAAAAACATTAAATAGAATAGAATAAAAAACAAATTCACTGAGAATTAAAATGAAACAGATTACAAAAAATGGGTTTGGGTGTGAGAGTGAACCATTTGCCAAAATAAAATAAAACAATACAAAAAAAATACAAAGGAGGGGTTCCCAAACGTTTCCATGCCATGGCCCCCCTAAACAGCATTAGTTTCTGGCCGGGGACCCCTGCTTTTAAACCCACCAACAATGCTACAAAAAATATCTGAACTTTTAGAATGTTTTTCTSCCTTTTATTCAGTAATTATTAACACACCAATTATATTATTTGGTAATATACACTTTGTAACAAACACTTTGTTGTATATTCCCACTGAAAAAGYAAATTTTCAACAAACTGTTGATGATAAGAACAGGACAAAATAAGTCAAAGTAACATTTCAAAACTCCTTATAAATTATTAAAACAAATGTGATATCAGGACAATGATTTAAAACATTTATTAGATTGACTTTTTTATTTTTGCYTTTTTTAAACTTCCCTCCAGCTTTCTGTCTGTGCAATATTTCTTGAAAAAAWTTATTTGACCACTAAGTGTTCAAAAAAAGGAGAAACAAATAAAACAGAGTCAGATTTCAGAAATTTAACTGAAAAATTAAAGCCATTAGCTACTATTATATAT